CTAGCCAGCTAACCAAATCGCTAGCTAGCTAGCTAGCTAGCTAGCTAGCTAGCTAGCGATTTGGTTAGTTCGTTTGTTTGTCAGTTTGTTAGTTAGCCGCTAAATAGACAGCTAACTAGCTAGCCAGCCAGCTAGCTAGCTAGCTAGCTAGCCGGTTATTTACCAACTAGCTAGCCAGCTAGCCAGCTAGTTGGCCAACCAGCTAGCCAGCTAGCTAGCTAGCCAGCTAGCCAGCTTGCTCGACAGCTTGCTAGAGGGCTAGCTAGACAGCTAGCTGGGCAGCTGAACAGCTAGCCAGAAAACTGGGTAGCCAACTAGCTAGCTAGCTAGCCAACCAGCTAGCTAACCAGCTAACTAGCTAAATGGCCACCTGGGCAGCTAGCTAAGAAGCCAGCTAGCTGGCCAGCTAGCCAGCCAACTGGCTAGACGCCTACGTAGACTGTTAGCTGGCTAGCTAGCTAGCCAGCGAGCTAGCTAGCTAGCTATCTGCTGCAGCTGCAGGGCTTGCTGCTGCAGTTGTGGGGCATGCTGCTGCAGCTGTGCGGTTTGCTGCTGCAGCTGTGGGGCTTGCTGCTGCAGCTGCAGGGCCTGCTGCTGCAGCTGTGGGGTTTGCTGCTGCAGCTGTGGGGTTTGCTGCTGCCGCTCCTGGGGGCCCCTGGAGTTTGAGAGGCCTCAAAGGGCCCTCAGGCTGAGGGTTTAGGGTTTAGGGTTTAGGGTTTAGGGGCTTCGGGTAGGGTTTAGAGGTTTGGGGCTTAGGGGCCCGATGCTAGGGTTTAGGGTTAAGCTCGGGTTTGAGGTTTAGGGTTTAGGGTTTAGGGTTTAGGGTTTAGGGTTTGAGGGTCCGGGTTTAGGGTTTGGGCTGGAGCTGAAAAGGGCGTGAAGGGTCGCTTGGTCTTGGTTTTGGGCTCGGTTTCGAGGGTTTAGGGTTTAGGGTTTAGGGTTTAGGGTTTAGGGTTTAGGGTTTGGCGGGTTTGCGGAGTTAGCGAGAAAGCCCGAAAACTGGGGCGGTGGGGTTCGGGTGTCTGTGGAGGTTTGGGGCTGCGGAGGGCCCGCCGGGGTCATTTAAAAGCTCAAAGTTCGAAATAAAAGAATAAAAAAGAATAAAAAAGAAATAAAAAGAAATAAAAAGAATAAAAAGAAACAAAAAGAGGCATTAAAGGGCGAAAAGGGGCGTTTGGCGTTCCAGAGAGCGCCTGTGCTGTGCAGCGTGCTCAGTGGCCGTGCTGCTGCTGCTGCGCGTGTCTGCTGCTGCTGCTGCTGCGCTGCGCCGCCAATTTGCTTCTTTTCAACGCCAAATGAATTTAATTTAATTTATAAAAATGAATTTGGAATAAAAGGAGAGTTTGGAGGCGCAGGGGGGGCGGCGCGGTGTGCAGACAGCCGGGCGCCGCTCCCGCAGCGCCTGTGCGGCGGCGGCTGCTGCGGGAAAACGCGGGAAATAAAGGCTTTAAATGGATCTTTTTGTTTGTTTCGTTCAACTTTAAAAGAATAATAATTAAAAACGCCAAAAAGAGCTGAAAAACGGCGCTTTTAGCCCCGGTTTGGCCGCGCCGCAATCGCTCCCGAGAGCTCGGCATACACCCCAACTCCAGCAGCAGCAGCAGCAGCAGCAGCAGCAGCAGCAGCAGCCCCGTTTTCGCCTTTTTCGCGCTTCTTTGCCTCCGCAGTTTTTCCTTTTTGTTTTCTTTTCGTTTATTTCAAGACAAAGCTCCCGAAAAGAGGAAATAAAGGGCTAACCGGGCGCACAAGGGGGCCCCTGGGGGGTACTGGTCTGCACGCGGCGCCTCTTGGGGTATTTTTTGGCTTTTTTTTGCGTTTAAAAGCGTGTTCGAATAATTGAACTTTCCCTTTATTTCTTTATTCTTTTTTTGCTTCTTTTCTGCTTCTTTTTGCTCCTTTTTGCGCCTTAATTCGGCGGTTTTGGTCCGCGTTTTGCTCTTCGCCGCAGCGTCTGTACACCCCAACTGGGGTTTTCTCGCTCCCAGTTGGCTCTTTTTCTCCGCCTTTTTCGGCTCCCCGGGTGTCTGGACCCCCCCGTTTCGATTCCGGAGTTTATTTTATCTTTTTGGGTCTTTTTAGTTTCCATTTTGGATCTTTATTCTCCATTTTGGTTCTTTTTCGCTCCCCGTGCCCCCGCGCTACCCCGATGCGGGCGCTGCGCGGCGCTCGTTCCCGCGGCGCAGGGCCGCTGCTGCTGCTGCTGCTGCTGCTGCTGCAGCAGCAGCAGCAGGGGCCCCCCGCAGCAGCAGCAGCAGCAGCAGCAGAGGACGACCCCGAAGGCCCCATCATCCAGCTCGTGGAAGACAGTGCTGCTGCTGCTGAAGTGGCTGTGCTGCTCGCCAAAAGTACTTCTCCAGGACACACTTTTGCTGCTGAAGCAGTTCCTGCTGCTTTTGCGCAGCAGGGGGGCCCCCGGGGGGCCCCCCTGGCCTTCTTGGCCCGGGCCCGCGAGGAGGCCCTTTCCCAGGGGCCCCCGGGGCCCCCCCCGGGGCCCCCGGGGCCCCCGGGGCCCCCCGCGGGGCCCCCGGGGCCCCCCGCGGGGCCCCCGGGGCCCCCCGCGGAGGGGCCCCCGGGGCCCCCCGAGCGGCCCG